CATTAACATATGTGTAAGCGCCAATCTATTATTATTATTATCTAGCCTAATCATATTCTGTTACGGTAGAAAATTCAAACGGTACACCCAGATATGAATCAGAAGTACATGGAACAAATTGAGACAAGCCAGCATTTGATATAGCACTAGAAATAAATACACCATTCAGACTGTCAACATTCAACATTGTGTTATTATCCATTAATAAAATAGTTTTAGAGCTCCTTGCAAAAATAAATAAGTTGAAATTCTTGAAAATATCTACGTGTAGGATGTTTCATTTATTTTAGGTTCAGGAGCACCGTGTATTACAATATGGGTATCAAAATGTTTTTAAAAAGCCTTTATTTCAAACTACCTGCTCAAAAAGTCAAATTTGATTAATGCTAGAGACACGCATGGTAGAATGGTATCAATATTACGATCCGCGCATATATGTAATACTTCTATATTGGCAGTAAGCTAACTGTCCGAAATCGAAGCGAGACAGTCTAGTACCGTTTTTGTCAATGTATTGTGTACTTGAGTGCCGTTTTTGTATATGTGTTGTGTACATGTCTATTTATAAACGTATGTGTTCCTTTTCTTTCGTACGTGTTTATTGATATATCTGTACTGTAGTGTTTTCGGACGGTACTAGCTCTTACTGCCAATATAGGAGTATTACATATATGGATCCATGATTCAATAATAGAAAGGTTTTGTAATAAAACAGTCTTCTCGCTCCAACCATAAAATCGGCCCCTTTACTTGTACAGAATGTTGCTTACTCTACAGTTTCTAGTTATATTAGTAGTAAAACCAAAAATTCTTCATACTAAATATTCGTTGGCATCACCTTCGTTTGCGCAATTTTCTGGAACAAACCTAGAACAGCGACAATTTAGCTACAAAATAACCAAAAGTGCCGATTGATAGGACCTTTTACGCTGATTTCAATGATACCAAATTTATTTGGCGCAGGTAATAAACAAAGAAGATACAAGAGGTTTATTTGCTTTGTTTACTTATATTTTTTATTATCACTTGAACCCCAAAAGTAGATCATGATAAAATATGTATATCGAATTAATGATAATGGCTTGTACTTTCTAAATAATATAAATTTCTTTACCATTAATCATGCAGTTTTTTTTCAAAAAAGGTTATTTCATGAAAAAATAACATTTGTTCGTGTTTTAGTGGTTTTGGTTTAAAAATACAAAAAGCTATAAATTATGTACATCAGCTGAAAGACAAATCAATTATCTTTATGGTGACGTTATTAGTTTTTTAATCGGTTATGTGGTTCATAAGATATTAATATTAAAAAAAAAAAACAAAGAATTTAATTGCAACCTTCTAAAACGTCTTTATATTTTACCTGCGCTAAATAATTTTGACATGGTTGAAATGAGCGTAAAAAGTTCTATTGATCTGCAATTTTTTGTTTTTGCATAGCTGAACGGTCGGTATTCTAGATTTGTTCCAGAAAATGACGAATAACTTAAATTAAAAATCTATTATTTTACGTATTGCTTAGTATTTCTATTAAAACACCAAATATATTGCAAATTCACATATAATTAATAATACACATTTTACTTCTAATTGTATACTTTGCGCACTTTCTTCGTACCTTTCTACTACCGTTATTTATTTATTTATTTATTTCAGTCATCGAAACAGAATTTCTTACAGACTATGATCATGTTTTGATATTTAATTAAACAGTGCAAAAAGGCTTAACTTAAAACAAGAAAGGCTAACATTAAAATTAATTTGCGGAGCGAATGTGCTACAAAGGCGAATGATTCTGGCTATCGGCTCGTTATAAGAGTAAAGCGACTTATGTGAACCCTCAATAAACTTTCTGGGATTTCTGAGATTTATATTAGATTCTTGTACTCGAAAAAGAACAAATATTTCTGGGCAATCAATATTGCCAGATAAAACATTGTAAGCAAATAGCAGCGACAGATACGACCTTCTGTCCGCTAGAGATTGTAAGCCAAGGAGTTTCCTCCTTGATACGTAACTTGGAATATCATTTTCAAAAAACACTCTTTTCATAGCAAATCTGGTAAATTTTCTTTGAATCATCTCTACTTTATCAGAGTACTTTGTGTAGTATGGGTTCCATATAATCGCCCCATATTCTAAAATACTCCTTACCAAAGCAATATAGAGTGTTTTCAGAGTCATAGGGTCCTTAAAATCTTTGGTGTTCCTAATTATGAAACCTACCATCGAATACGCTTTAGATGAGACCAGATCAATATGTTTTGAAAAAGTTAATTTGGTGTCAAAGATAATTCCTAAATCCTTAATTTCGGATTTACGCAACAAATCAACGCCATCCAGAGAATAGTTGAAGGTATGGACATATGCGCGGCGGCTATAGTAAACAACGCAACATTTGCTAATGTTTTGGCTTAGGTTATTGACGGTACACCAATTTAAGAATATGTTTAAATCTTGCTGGAGTTTTTGGCAATCAAGAAGATTATTGATATTGAGGAATATTTTAACATCATCTGCGAACATTAAGCACTTGGACGATATGATATGCGACGGTAAGTCATTTATAAAAAGTAAAAACAACAGAGGGCCAATGTGAGTTCCTTGAGGAATGCCTGATGTGGCATAGACCTCAGTGTTCGAGCTTATTGAGTTTATTATTAAATTGATTATAGCTTTTGTAGTGCACAAATTGTTTTATTATTATTTAGTTATTTATTTATATTTATTTATTTGTTTGATTTAAATGTAATATTTTACTTTCTTTCTTTTGTTGTCACAAAAACAATATTTGTATTGCACAAACTATGAAGTATGATAAAATCGAGAACACAGAGCTCGAGTGAAACACGTCCGTACGCGGTAAATTTCCCTAATAATTTGAAATCGCAAAAGGCGATCACATTCTTCCCCTTTCTCCCACTTCCAAAATACAAATATAGATAAAGGAGTGTAAAATTTTAGCTGTCACAAATTACATAACCATTATTGAATCATGATTACGATCTATAATAAACGCGTGTCATTCTCATACTGTAAAAAGAAATACATACTACAAATCGTTGTAGTTGCTATGTAGCAACGGCAAACTACAATATTGATATTGTAATTTCTATATCACATGATTACCTCTTCCTTTTTGAAGTCTGTTAACAATCTATGAGAATTTTCCATGCCATGTTGTGAAAAATTATATTATGTATCCGCATCTAATATGTAGTAGCAATAATTTTACGATCGTAGAAGTATTATTTGGCATAGCTTTTATTGAATCTTTGGCTATTGAATGTACAATGGTGAACATGAAAAAGAATATCAAGATGTAATTTCGAAATTTTATTTTTGATGCAGAAATACTCATACAGCATCTGGATGCATTTCTGCTTCAAAGAGATATGGCGGTGATATACTTAATACAAATTTAGATAAAGCCGAAGATTACAAGCACGTAGATCAGAGGTTCCCAAACGTATTTGTCTGGTAGACCCCTTTCAAAACTTTACTGGTTTCGGAGGACCCCTGGTGCTACATCTAACATATTCCAAGGCTGGCCAAAAATGTGAAGATTAGATCTAACGATGTAAATTTGCATCGCGGGTGAGTTCCAAAACTAAATTCGGAAAAATAAAAATATTTTCTTGTCTTCTATTTTTTGCACACTTGCAAGTTTTAAAAAACAGGGCGCTCTCTCGCTCTGAGGAGTTATATTTTTTAAGAGAACTCCGAGCGCTAGCGTTATCTATATTCTCCTCACATGTTCGGCTCACTCATGAATTTGCATGTGGCGTATTTTTAAAATAGTTTAATGTGCAGATGAAGTAACTAGTCAGCAGTCCAACAAGTTGTCTGCAGTCCCATCTGCTATAAGTGGTTGCAGATCGAAGAGTGCCAATTGGTCACATGCCTCATTACTAGGTACTCCCGATGACCTGGCACCCAAAGTAAAGCAAGCTTGTTATGTTTACCAACATAATTTAGTCGAGACTTGCTTTGCCGAACTAGTTTGGAAGTTCTTAGATAGAGGGATAGCCAATGCTTTAAGTACACAACTTGGCTGTCACTGCCTACACGTAAACTCCTTCCCCTCCACCTATTTTCTACCACGAGTCCATGGCTTTGAGGATTTCAACTACCTCAACCTGGAAAACCGAAGCATATTCCCGAAGAGAAAAGTAAAGCTTATCCCTATTAACTTCGAAAAAGACCCCACATCAGTTTTGGCGCCATCAGTGAAGATTCGGCAATTTGTGAGTCTGGGCTCAGTGACGTACTATCTAGTGGCCTTGAGAAGCCAAGAGTGCTCAAATCTCTACCTCGCCCCACTCAGTGTTATACCAACATCCGTTTCTTTTTAGTCTGCAGTTGGCCTTTAAGGCTTCCTCACGTATTAAGACACAAAGTGACGGTAAGTGCAGCAGTGCGTTCCGAGCACTATACACCACTCAAAGAAATGTAAGTTAAATAAAGTTGGTTCTTTACTATCGAAACCAGATAAATTTTCATGGATCTCCACTTACAACTCGTGGCCCCCATAGTTTTTCACGCCGACGTAGACTCTCGTCGAGTTTCCCGTGGACTCCTGGGGGTCCACCTGGACCACTTTGGGAATTACTCATGTCGATACTCGTATGTATCTTTGTAGCAGCCATTTTCAGATGCATGATTTTCGTAATCTTTCCACGTACATGTTATGTATCGAACGCTTCCATTAAGTTTTTAATTTTTGCACGTTCCTGTGGCAGAGGCCGCATGGTGCGACAGTCGGGTCTACCTAATTGGAACGACCCATATCTATATCTGCTACTCCAGCAGATTCCCCAAAAACTCTTTGCGGAAATTATATACTGTTTCAACAACAACAATAAGACTTAATAGACGGTCATTTATATCCTGACAATAAAAAGGAGGAATTGCTTATAATTTTACTGATAGTATTTTTCAACAATTTACTAATGCAGTAAATTCTTTTAATTGCAGAGCCGTCGAACGACTGGTAAATTCAGACACCGAAATACCATCAGAGGCGAATAAACAACTCATAACTTTGGCCGTAGAGGAGTTGACACGCTCAGCTGAGCACCAACCACACATCCAAGAGCATGCACTCTCCATTTTAGTGGCCATTGGCCGGAAAGATGCAACGCGGTAATGGAAGCATTAATGGCACACACAAAAGAAGGTGCGGTGGCACATTTCATGGTCATGCATTGCTTAGGAGCTATGGCAACGGCGAATGTTCCGGACGTTGTACCTTGGTGAGTTAAGGTGTGGTGAGAAAGTTGAGGTGTGGTGAATTAAGGTGTGGTAGATTAAGGTGTGGTGAGTTAAGATGTGGTGAGAAAGTTGGGGTGTGGTGAGTTAAGGTGTGGTGAATTAAAGTGTGGTGGATTTAGGTGTGGTGAATTAAGGTGTGGTGAAATAAACAGAAAAGGAACTTATCCGAAGAAGTTTTGAAGGATGTTGAAGCGATAAATAGCTGTATTTTCATTTTAAGCGCTTTTCCATGCACAACAGCGACTGTGTAGCGATCGTTTAGTACACTTCGTTGAGTAAAAATCTTGCTCATTCATGGTAGGTGGTGATGACCGGCTGCTCCTCAAGCAGGGGTTTGGTGGGTTGATCACACCTGTGACATCCCACCAGAAACTGCTTGCTGAGCATTTTGTTAAGCTCGCTTATGGAAAGCATTTGGGTCTCACTGTGTAGATGGTGCCCAGGCGACATCAGAAGGCATCCTGTCGCTGCCTGGAGAACGGCGTTCTGACAATTCTGTAGCTTCGTTCACTGCGTCCACCTAGTCCCCGACGACCAAACAGGCTCGGCATGATTCAGAACCCGCCGGCCAATTCCCTTGTATTTCGCCAACAACATTTCTTTGCGCCAGATGCTACCGCGGAGCGACTTGAGGGCCTTGTCGCGGCTCTTTATTTTATTAACACTTGCGCTTGTGTGAGCGGAGAATGAAAGCAGGCTATCTATGGTAACCCCTAACATTTTCGGCTTGTTCACCGTCGGAACGGGTGTGCTATTGACGTGAATGCCTAGTTGAAGCCTGACCTCCGTCCATGTGGTGAAGACGGTGGGTGGAGCTGCTTGGAGTGAAGAAGCGAGAAATTTCGGATAGGTATTTAGCCGTTTACTTTCTAGCAGAGCACATCAGTTCCATTACCAGACACCAATATCGACACTCATCAGCTAATGAAATTTAGGAAATTCCCTCCGGTGGCAGAGGAAGCTTCGAAGTATAGAAGTTAAGCAGTAGAGGTAAAACCCCCTTGCTTAATTCTTCTAGGTTTTTAAGTTTGATTTTGAAAGCTTTCTGACGACTGCCGACACTCAAATAATTCGACGACCATGGTTTGAGTCTCTGTGGGACAAAGAAAGCCTCGATGTCTTCTTCTAGAGCATGCAATGACAAACGGTGTCAAACGCCTTTGACAGGTCCAGCGTTAATAGCTATTAGCCCTGCAAGACGCGACTGATGGAAACTCCAATACATTTGCAAAAGTTTTGACACATACTAACACATCCGCAATTTGCTTTAATCTTTTTTTTTCTGCAACATATATGTATATATATATATATATGCAATATATATGCCACAAGAGTAAGCAGTCAAACTGATTTGGTACATTATTTTGCCCTTTCATTATTTCTTCTCTTTGTCTTCTCCCTCTTTTCGCTAAAAAGAAGAGAAGAAGAAATGAAAGAGGAGAAGAATTAAAAAGAACAAAAAGGAAGCCGTCAAAAAGCGTGGAAAAATTAAGAACGATAGACGTGGAATTTGCGAAATAAAATTTTATTAAAAGGAAAGTTTAATTAATATAAAAGAATTTGAAGAAAAAATGAAGAAGAGGCATTTAAGCAATTGTCTATCAAAAGAAAAAAAGCTTTTCGAAGCTAATATAAAAAAGTTTAAAGAACTTGAGCAATCCTCTCAAGAAAATGTGCAAAGTGTGGCTGCGGCTTCTGGTGAAACAGAAAATATGGAAGACTGCACGTCGAGTGAAGTTTTTCTTGGTGAAAGTGATCCTTTTCTGGACGAGTCTTTAGATACCGCCAGCAGTGAAGTGCCGAATGAAAATTTCGAGCAGCTGAATGCAAAGGAGGAATTGAAGTCTTGGGCGATTAGAAATAAAATTTCTCAAAACGCCCTTGACGATTTACTTAAAACTCTTCGGAAAGTTGGAATGAATGACTTACCTTTGCCCGCTAAAAGTCTCCTAAAAACTAGTCGGGAAAAAATTAATATTAAGTCCATTCCAAATGGCGAGTTTCTGTACTTAAATAGGTATTCAGCATCATTTTATTTCAGATGAATTCGGATTTTTAGAGGCGCGAGAAGAAGTCTTAATTGACGTAGGTGTCGATGGTGTCAAACTATTTAATAGTTCTAATCGAGTTTTATGGCCTATCCTGGGGGCACTTGTAGATTTTCCTAGTGTAACACCTTTTGTAATAGGTTGCTTTTCTGGACTAAAGATACCAGAAAATATCAATGATTTCATGGCAAATTTTACATCAGAAGCAAAATATCTTAGGGAAAATGGTATCAAAGTGGGTCCCAATCAGATCGTATTAAAGTTTGATGTTCGGGTGTTCATTTGTGATTCTCCGGCTAGAGCGTTTGTTTCCGGTGTTATGTCATTTAATAGAAAAAGCGGATGTCCTAAATGTTGTCTCGAAGGCAAATATAAAGAGAGAAGAGTAGGTTTTCCCAAAGAAATTGGTGAACATAGGTCGGATTCATCTTTTGAGCAGAGAGTTCATGCTTCTCACCACCTTGCTCAATTTAGGCATCAGAAAAGTGTGTTAGAAGACGCTGGCTTTAGAATGGTTTCTCAGTTTCCTCTTGACTCTATGCATTTGGTTGATTTAGGTGTCGTTAAAAAATGTCTTAAACTGTTCATCAAAAATGCAAATACCACAAAGATGAATGCAAATATTCGTTTCGCTTCCAGTTTTTTTCCATCTGAATTTTGTCGAATTTCAAGGGGCTTGGATGAAGTTAGTCATTGGAAAGCAACGGAGTTCAGGCAGTTCTTGCTATACACAGGCGTTTTTATTTTGAAGGATTGCGTAAGTAGTGAGTTGTACTACCTTTTCTTGCTTTTGCATAGTAGTATTCGTCTTCTTTCTAGTGAAAAATCGTTCAGGTCGGAAGCCGATGTTGCTCAACAAATGGTAGAATATTTTGTCGCAGAGTTTAGTAGGATATTTGGAGAAGAATTAGTTAGTTTCAACATTCATGGCTTACTTCACTTGTCCGAATGCGTTAAAAGTCTGGGCCCTTTGGATTCATTTTCTGCTTATAGGTTTGAAAACTTTATGCAATTTTTAAAAAAGATAATTAAAAAACCGAATCAAGTATTGCAACGAATTTTTTTAAGGCTTGATGAAAGGCAAGATCTTAAGTCACTTTCGGAGCAGACTTCTCGGTTTGGAGCATTTGACATTGATCTAAGAAAAGAAAAGGATTGTTTTTGCTACAGTAAGAAAGCGGGACCTATAAAGGTAATGGAACTTGTAGGGTTAGGAGATTCAGAAGTAATTGAGTGTATGGTTTTTAGGAAAACAGAAAACTTTTTTGAAGACCCTGTTCCCTCCTTCGCTAGTCTAGGTATTGTTGTTGCAAGTGATCTCAGTTCTGATATTGTTAAAATTGAAAGGAGTGATATTGACTAGAAATACTTCTGTATCCCCTATGAAAACAAATTTTTGTTCATACCTCTTCTGCATCATCTTTTCCACGACTTTTGTAATTAAGTCACACTTTCCATTAAAAAAATAATAAAATATTAATATTTAAAAATATATTTTATAATACCTCATTTGACTTCATACTATTTTTGGAAAGGCGGTTACCCCATCCAACAACAACGTCCATGTATCTGATGAAGGTAACTTATATTTTATTTTTCTCAATTCTATGTACCAAAATATGTATTTCCACAACAGTCTCATCCAACAATAACGTCGGTGGGCCCAATGAAGGTACATATGTTATTTTTCTTAACATACATGTTAAATTTTTGTCGAAATATTTACAGACGGAGATGTACTTCAAGCGAAACGAATGTAAGTAGGTGCATTTCAAAACTCTCTTATATAAAGAGCCCGCCACTCTTATTTCGTAATCCTTAATACCCGTAAAAAGCTGCGAGGCACCTATGTACATATAATGCGCATATTAAACACTTTCAATTATTATACATATTTGAGGGATTCACAAAGGTGTCGTAAGTGTCGTATTGTTGTATATCGTAAACTTTAAAAGCTTAAATAAATGCTTAGAGAACTTAAAACGACAACCAACTATTATTTAACACCACAAAAATTCATAATATGACTTTAATGGTACTTTACGGACCCCTATAATATATTTTTTAGGCGTTTAAAGTTTGCAACATACAACAATACGACACTTACGACACCGTTGTGAATATCCCAAATATGTTGTATTGTATTATTATACATATTATGTTGTATTGAAATATTGTGCGCTTTGAAATAATGAGCGAAAACCAATCGCTGATATGTGAAAAATTGAATTATATTATGGAAAATGTGAGTATTGCTTCATTTAATTTGTTATTTGTGAGATATCTACCTATATATTTACCTATATTTGTATTAAAATAATAAAAACTTATTTCCAATAGTCCACACCCAAATGCGAAACATCGGCACAGCACCAGTTATTACGGGAATGCAAAGTCTCGATTAAGAAGGTAGAACATTCCGTCTGTCGAATGACAGGAGAGCTGCGAGATAAGCATATGGACGATGTTGCGAGTGCATTGCCTCTCCAGACCTCAATAGCAGTGTTAAATGTGGAGGACAATCTTAAAATACCAGAGTACGCGCGGGCAATGGTAATTGAGGTGAAAATTTAAAATGTTATAGTTTTTACTTAATTTTTAAATTTGTAGACATCACACCTGCATAAAATTAAAGGGGTTTCCGAAGATGTTCCGTCCGTCGTCAGACAGATTTTTACGGATAAATTGATGGGCGCCTACAACTGGGATGGCAGATGCGAAAAGCAGGCCTTGGTCAAGCTTAAGCTGTTTGATTCCTTTCTACGAGGTAAGTATTTTCAATTGAGTATCATAAACTATAATTTTGTAATACATGTATTCATTGTTTCATTTAGAAATCTTCAAACTACAAGGAAGTTTCGATTTTGAACGAGGCGTTAAAAAAGCAGTGGAACTTAGCCATCACCGGATGTCGCAAAAAAAATTTGCAAAGAAGTCGAAG